GGGGGGAGGATAAACTAGAAAATAAATGGCCACTCTAGCAAGCAAGGCGTAACTTTAATCGAATGGAGAAACATGCCTCGGTTTTTAAAAAAACCTATATCTAAGCCGAGTATTCCAGCGCAATATAACGCTCTTCTGCAATTTGCGTCATGTTGAGTCAGATGGAGAAAAAAAATCAACATAAAAAAACCAAGTCCCAGTTTTCGGTTTTTTTTATTGTTTATTTTTTCTTCTTAAAGACAATCAAGATTAACGCCGAGCAATCTCGCACAGGACACTCCTCTGCAGTTTTCGTCCTGTTGAAACAAATTATGGGGTGGGGGGGGAGGGGGGGGGGTAATCACTGATTTTTAGGTTATTAAAATATTGGGGGGGGGGGGCATTGTGTTTGTTTTTGCTTTATTATGTTTTATTTTTTACTGATCCATGCCAAGTTTTCCCGAACCGACTGCTCCCCTGCAATTTCCGTCATGTTAAATCAAATGCCAATACATTATGTCCCTATTTTATGTGTTTGTTTGTATTTTTTCACAGATCACTGCGGAGTTTTCTCGCGCGGGACGCTCCTCTGCAGCCTTCGTCATGCTTTCCATAATTCAGAGGAGAAAGAACTGGTACCCTACGTTCCTTCGAGCGTTGTACGACGAGGGTCAAAGAGAACTGGTCAAACTGATTGACGAAGATAAGTTTGAAAGTAAGTGTGTATGTTTTTCTGTTTTTATTTTGTTTTTGTTCTTTTTATTATTATCATTAATTTCAATGTGATGTTTTACACCTTCAATGGGGTTTCTCGTGACCTAGAGTTGTTGGCCTCTCATTCAAAAGGTCCCGGATACGAATCCGGGTAGCAACCGAAACATTTTCTTCTCTAAATTTGTCTCCTTTCACCTCATTTTCTGCTCTCTAGCATTGTTCTGTCGACTGCTTTCGTCTCCTCTTTCTGCCCCCACCCCCTCACCTCCTTTGCCCCTTCCTCTGGGCTCCTGATTCTTTCTGCAGCCTTTCTACTGCTACTCCTTCGCTTCTTCTTACTGCAGTCTTTCAGCCACACCCCTGATCTTCTGGTAGGAAATATCTACATCTAGCCTTCTCGGACAAGGGCGAAAAATCTCGGAGTTCCTGTGTGCAAGTTGCGCACGTTAAAGATCCCTTGGTGGTCTAAAATCGATAAGAGTAGGCTTCAGCCGCCACCCGGGCAAAATTCAAAATTTCCTACGTACTGAAAATATTAGGTGTGTCCCGCGTGCTCATATGATCTTATGCAGTTGCGAACGCCGTAAAGCACTTTACAAAAACAAAACACCTTCAATTGTTTCTGCTGTTGCAAGGACATTCAACGTGTGTTTTTCTGTTAACGCATGGGCATGCTGATGTCTCGCTCGATGTTACTGATGTTGATTAAACCTACGATCGTTCTTACGGCATGCCCCTTTTGGAAGTTTGTCGCAAAATTATGTTTTTCTTACATTCTTATTATGATCTGGGGACTCCAGTGGATAAGAGAGTAGTGAGTTTAGACTCCTCAAGTAATGTCAACCAAGTGTCGGTGACACGGGGATCAGATGGGTGATCACTGGGGTGTGTCCTTGAGCAAGACACGACAACCCTAGCTCAAAATACAGGGCGCTGCTCAGTGGCGACCGACAGTAGCATGGTTGTTAACTGTTCCATATTTGTGTAATATTGTGTATTTGTGTGTGTATTTATGTATGTATTTTTGAATGTATGTACGTATTTATAATTATGTATTTATGTATTGCCATTATTGTTTAATTGCCATTTTAAACCAAAGTGCTCGTCTGGGACAATTATTATTATATTAATATTATTATTATTTATTATGATTATGATTATTATTATATTATATTTTCTCCCAAATTAAATGCTTCCTTTCTTTAAAAAATAAATAAAAGATAAGATAATACTTTATTGCCTCAGAGGGAGATTTTTCTTGGCTCTACAAGACCATAAAAACACATGCAGGTATACAGCAAAGTTTGAATTATACACTACTCTCGTTAAAAGTCATTATGAAATGAAAAGTAAAGCTGACAAATGTACATATCACATCAGATGCATCATTCAATCACATGCAGGAATTTAATTACAAGACCTTTAGAGTTATATAGAGATAATAATTGATACAGAAACATTCTACCCTCCAGGGCGGTGCCACTGACTGAGGTGTCTTTAGGCCATTCCCAAAGGGGGAAAAGGGGGGGGGGGGACATTTCTCGTTTTAACGGACAGTGTCATGCTCATAACTGTGCCTGAACTACAACAGGGAACTGCTGCTTTTTGTTTCCTTATCCGTACTATCATCATTTTCCTCTACCTCTTTTGTATGTTTGTCACACTCTTGTGACCCCCTATTTCCGGGGTGCCTTGATAGTCGAAGCAGACTGTTGAAGTAGAGAGGTGAACAGTGTAAGTCTGATTCCCTGTAAGAACTTCTCTGTTGACATCCACCCCTTGGCGCTCATATGACCTCATGCAGTTGCGAGTGCCGTAAAACCTCTACAAAAACAAACAAGGAAACATTCTTGAAGTCACATAGAGAGTTATATAGATACGACCGTACATACACATTTGCCTTATCTCGGAGAGCGTTGGTGCAAAGTCAAGAAATATTTTAAGCACTAGATTTCCATTACATTTTTCCTCATGTAGGGTCACCATTTCAACTTTAAGAAACCAATTGACATATTTGCCTTTGACATTCCCCAAGGCGTTTTCTAACAACAATTGAGGTTAGATTAAAAACTTTTCTTCATAAATCTTTTTAAACGAATTGAGTCTCCGTCACGCGGAAAATGGAATTGTTCCAAGCACTTCCCGTTTCTAACACACAGTTTGCATACGCATAACATGGCCTACATCTCAACGCGCCAATGACATTTTTTAGTAACAAACCTTGTTACAGGAAATTGATTTTATAGTGTACACTTTTTTCACTAAAGGTTTTCAAAACATGCGTTCAATAAGCATAATGTCGCTTTTATTTAAAAAATGACAGCCTTGATTTTAAAATCTGAAGACACCACCCACTGGGATTTTTTATTAGCATTTATTAAGGAATTTTCTTGAATAAAACTAATAGGTGTGTAAGAAATGTAACCGTTAAGACAAATTGATACAAGTCTTTGTGCAAAAGTTGAAAACTTTTTGTTCAATAGTTGACGGAATATTTGGCAATAAGTTGCGCCACGAATTTTTGACCGCACTATAGTTGATGATAATCGGGTCGAAGTATACCACCTAATCTTTAATATTATAGTGGAAAACTTGTATAAAGAACAAGTATATGGTCACACCCTCTCACAACACTGTTTTTCTGACAATATAGAATTACAACGATTTAAAATTTTAAAGTTTTAATAAGCGTTTTACGGCCCTCACAACACAATTAGGTCAGATAAATGTAAAAGATTAATGGTGTTACAAGAGAGCAACAAGCATAAAAGAGGAAGGAGGCGAAAAAGGGACGATCGGTGTTTGATAGGAAAGAAGGAGAAAACCGCAATAAAGCACCCGCGAACCACCCACGATTAAAATGTTTTCTGAAAGGAAGAGAGGTTAGAATATCATCACAGCAACCTATGAAACTCGAGGAAGTCGCTTAATTATGACTGGTCGATTGTTTTGCCTGCCGAGAAAGATTCTGTATTCTTCCACGAAAATAATGGTTGGATATCCGTAGAGGTGTCAAATTTTAATCGTTTTAAACTGGCTAATCAGAATACACCTAAATTTATTGAGTGGTGAGCTCATTTCGAAGCCGGTTTCCGTTCTTTCTGGAAATGTCATAGGGTTATTGTTATTGACTCGTGCGTATTGACTTTGGTTTCAAATGCAAATACGTCGTAAAAAAAACAACTTCCTTTGATCGCTTTTAAGGACAAACAGGCTAACCCAGATTTAGGGGGTTTCCAGAAATCTTGACCTACACCAAAAGTGGGACTTGCCTTACCTGTAGGAGAAGTTTGGATTCATTAGTGTTTATAGTTGTTTGGTTATAGAGAAAACTCTCTTTGTCTTTTAAAGAAACTGAAGAAAGGGCAAAAACTTTACCTTCGATTTTCTCAAAAAAGCATTTTACGGGATAGCCCACTTTGTGCTTAGAGCGAACTTTTTCAGAAATGTGTTTTATTGGTTGCTTTTTTTTCCTTTGTTCTCAGAACTTGAGGCTCAAGCTCTATACCTCCACTCAATGCCAGAGGTAGACCGAAACTGCGACGAAAGGAGAGCCGATACATTGGACGGTGAGAGTATACTTCCTTCCCTTTCTGCCTCTTGTTCTCCCTCTCTCTCTCTCTCTCTCTCTCTCTCTCTCTCTCTCTCTCTCTCTCTCTCTGTCTCTCTCTCCCTTTCTTTCTTTCTCTCTCCGTCTTTGTCTCTGTTTCAGTCTTTCTGTCTTTTTGTCTGTCTGTTTGTCTGTCTGTGTGTCTGTCTGTGTGTGTGTCTCTCTGTCTGTCTGTCTCTGTCTGTCTGTCTGTCTCTCTCTCTCTCTCACTCTCTCTCTCTCTTTCTTTCTTTCTCTCTTTCTGTCTCTCACTCCCTCTCTCTTTTAACATTCACACACACACACACACACACACACACACACGCACACACACAAACACACACACACACACGCACGCACGCACGCACGCACGCACGCACGCAATGTGTGTGCGTTGGCCTCATATGACTGTATATGACTGTATGCAATTGCGAGCACCGTAAAACCTTACTGAAACAAACAAAACAATGTGTGTGCGCGAATATGTGTATGTGTATGCGCGAATGTGTGTATGTGTATGCGCGTGCAACGACCAATGCTCGCCAAGTGGTTTGACTTGATCATAGCAAATAAATGTCATATTACGCTATTCAAAAGATAAGTAATCATGGACATTAGCCAATTTTAAAGTGTGTTTGCGGGTGGTTTATGTTGTTTGCTCCTTCTATCCTATGAAAAATCTATCGTCATCATCTCTCCTCTTTCTTTTTTGTGTTTGTTATTCTTTGGCAACACCTCTAATCTTGGGCACTTATATGACGGTATTGTCCTGTCTGTGTTGCAAGTTCCATGAAATACTTACTAAAAGCTTGTCTGTGTTCTAAAATCGAAATGTTAAATCTGCTTGGAGTACATTTACATACAATTAGGGAAAGAGAGGGAGAGCGATAGCGAGAGAGAACGACTGACAGCCAGCCAGCCAGCCAGCTAGACAGACAGACAGACAGACAGACAGACAGACAGACAGACAGACAGACAGACAGACAGACAGACAGACAGACATAGAGGAAAAGAAGAAGATAGGTACATACTGGACCTCAGCAAGATTAACTCATGCAGTACGCGAATTCTTGTCACACACAACCCTTAAAGATGTGCTGTTTTCACGTTTGAAAAAATTGTTCCTGACAATATAATATTATTTGTTTCTTAATCTGAAACTTTAAGGGCGGGCAACAATTTGTGTTTCTTTTTTTATATATAGTTGTTGACAGTGTGCCGCAAATTTGCCTTTGATCTTCAGTTAATCGGACATTATTGGCAACTGACGTCTTGTAAACTCTTTGTTCCAATGGTGTGGCTGCTGTCTTCTTATTTCTTAACCTCTCTTTAGTCACAGACCGCCTCATAAATAGCCTAATAGTGTTGATAGGGGTGTCAAACCCATAGATTTCACCATTTTTTAGACATAGTGCAGTGTCAGAACAACACGTTGCTCTTTTAGATCATTTTTCTGCCTGTTCGTTTCATTTCCAACTTGGCTTTATCTTGAAAGGTTCGTCCTCGACTATTTTTAAGTGGTTTGATATTATATATTTCCTGAGGTTTATTATCCACCACATACGATGTCGTATTGTGAGTTCCATAAAATTGTACCATAATAATATCGAAGACGTTGTACTCTAAAGAAATTTCGGTTCATTATAGAGCGCACCATTTGAACCGATTTGTAATGTAAGTAGGTTTATTCAGTGTATAAGGCCATTGGGCCACATTGCATCATATAAATCACTTATTAATTGTTAAATAAAGTTTCCATAATGAAAAAATACAAGTTGTGCATAAATCTCTTATCATGGGTCAAGCATTGCAAATCTTTGTCACTGGGCCGAGTCAGGCTTGGAGGAATTAACAGTTTCCTTTGATGGATAAAATATGGACAATAGAAAATGAAGTGAGATTCATCTTCAAGTTCATGAGAGTTACACCTCTCACATAAGGGTGACTTTATTAATTTCCACTGATAGAGATTGTTATTTAATGGAAAGCTGTGATTTTTAACAAGGCTATGACCTTTTTGTTCCTATATCGTGGGAGGTTGATGATATACTAAGCTGTTTCTTGAAACGGAATTGTAAGAGAGAATAAATCATACTTGCTAAAGACTTCTTCCCCTATGTTCTGCACAGAATGATGAACAAGCTTACTTTTTACTTCACTTAGAAATAATCTAGATCTAGTGCTTCCACCACTTTGAGAAAACTAGGCATATCCAAAACCCAGGGAAAATAGTAGGTTTACAGAATCGATTTGGAACCAAAAAAGGAAAGGTTCCGTACGCACTCGACAATAGTAAAACACGTGTTTTGCTCTTCATTTGCTCACCCATTGTGCGCACCACAAGTTTTTTAGAGAGCAAAGAGCGGCGTGCGTCCATGACAGTGTCCGCTCTAGGATGGTATGCATGTAATTCAAGTCTATGAATCATCCTTAAACACTTTCATTTATCATCCTTCTCGCTCCTCCTTCTTCTTTGTGTTGGTTACTCTCTTGTAACACATCTCATCTTTGGCATTTATATGACCCATCATGTTGCAAATGCGTATGACTCTTTGTAAAACTAAAAACTAAACACAAACAACTAGCACTCTGATCTGATGGTTCATTGCGCTATAATCATTGTGTACTACTTCGTGTTCTTGTCTGTTTGTCTTTTACAGATTACCAGGAGGCGTATCGTAGTCAGGATTGTCTGGATGCTCCTGATAATGGTATGAACAGCAAACTTTCTTTAAACAGTATCTGTTATCTTACATGCTGCCAAGCATTTCTAAACGAGCACGTGTAATCAAACTTTTATAATAAATAGTTTATAAACGTGTGGCGTGATGCATGCACGAGTCTTGGAGTCACGTCACTGATGCCTCTATCGGTCTCTGCTCAAAACCAGTTGTTTGGAACCAATGAAACAATTTTTTTTTTGATAGTCGCGGTAAAGCTAATTTAGTTTATATTATTATTTATATTGTTTATATTACAGTTCATTTACATTATGCATGTGACTGTAAGCCTGCATATATGTGCATATTTGTATGTGTGTGTGTGTGTGTGTGTGTGTGTGTGTGTGTGAGTGTGTGCGCGCGCGTGCATGCATCTGTACGTGTGTGTACGTGGTGAAACACCAAATCAATGTGCCAGGATCTAGACAATAGAGATGTATTTTATCGTATCTAATCCTATCTTATCTTACTGGCCGTACTTAATAAGAAATAAATTTGCCTAAGTATAACGTAATAAGCCTTATGAAAATGTGGCATTGCTCTGACATAAACTAGCAAAAAAGTCAAGGAACATCTTGTGTTTTCACCTGTCAAATGTAAACTTCAATATCTACATCTCACAAACCCCTTATCTCAGTCAACCAAACTATGGCTGTTCAGACTTTTGAAATCTGACCAGTGTAAATTAAACACATTTTACATGAACTTCTTGTTTTTGCTGAAATCTGAAATTGTACACACCTAATCTAGACAGTCCGTCGAAAGCATCTTTTTTGAAAAAACGAATACATTCGGTTAAGCTTTTTTTCAGTTATCTTTCGTTGAATTTTTCTGCCTTGACTATTTTGTGCGAGTTTAGTAATGTGGGATAATGTTAGTTGTAACCTTGACCTTAACGTAGAAGTTCTACAACTGAACTGAAGTGAGATCTGATTTTTTTTCCTGTCAGCCTGGACTGCCATCTGTGGAAAGGGGGAAGAGAGGAGGGGGTCAGTGATGCTCTGATCTCAGAAGTACTTTAGTACGTTTACAGTGCGCCTTCGGGTGTTCTACGTTTTCAGAAACATTATTACTCATGATTACATTTATTCATCCAATCTTGTCCTAGATTAATTCTTACCTATATAAAGCGTTAAATGTCCAAGAGTGTACTCAATTTATTGCAGGGACTGACATCAAATCAAGCGGTATCTGTTTATTGAAACATGTTCCTTTTTTCTTACAACAGTCTGGAGGCAGAACTTGCAGTCAACTGTGACAACCGTGCCTGTCAAAGAGTCCGAGCAGAATTTGACTAAACTGGAAAACCTCAATGACTTGGTTGATCCTAAACCCCTTGCATACTTGGAGGAAAAGAAAGAAAATACAGTTTCAACAGAACGACCAAATAGCAATATTACTGGGAATATTCAGGCTCCTTACGTTTGTCATTGCAGTAAAGAATTGAAAACACAAAGGGATTTGAAGCTTCATATGAAGGCATTTGGCTGTGGTGAATTCTCTTCTGAACATGACAGTCACACGGCAGGCACTGCTAGAGCTAAGGGCGGTATTAAAGTTGTTCCTGCTGTTCCAAGCGATAGAGACCGCCAAAAACCAGTGGAGATCAAACGAACAAGGCCAGCACGAGTGAGGTTCCAAGAGGTCCCTTCAGATCGCGGTAAGGTTAAAGACGAAGTCGTAGCCCCTCGTCAGAGCTCCCGCAAAGAAAATACTTCTCAGTCAGCAGCTGATGCTAGAACCAGACGCTGGGTAGCTCCTGGGCCTCCTAAGAGCTCCAGTATCGAAAACACGCCACCCACTGGCGCTAAAAGCATGCCGCCCGAGGAGAGACGTGGATCTGGTTCTCGGCCTGCTCAAAGAAGTGATAGCCACAAGGAACATGTCAACGAATCTCTTCATGTTAATAAATCTAATTCTCATCAGATACGACCTTCACCTCGAGCTCACAGCTCTTTGTCCTCTTGTCCTCCCAACCACGCTGCACCAGTAGCCTCTTCCCCAAGGGGCTGCAGAAGGAAGGAATGGTCACCTCCACTGCCTGGGGCCCTTGATCTTTCACGATATATATGTGTGTGTGGAAAACTGATAAGAAGCTTTGAGGACTACGAATCCCATGGCAAATGTCGAAAAGGGAATGGTGTGCCCCCGAAGAGCCCTGGGACTACCAAGAGTTCAGCATCTCAAAGTGAAAGTTTCAAGTGCGTCTGTGGTAGAGCGTTTGCTACAGTAAGAGATTTACACGTGCACATGACAAAGAAAAAGTGTAGTAGGCCTAGTTGATGCATTCGCTTCGTGCCAAGACATGTAAAGACGACTGTAACAGGGAAATCTGCTAACGGATGAAAAAACCCACCTACATTCTGATCATTGATGTACACTATAGTACTAGATACAGTACGCCCCTCTCTCACCTTGCTGCGCGATGGCCACATTTGACAGCGGTGTCCGCCATGTTTTTTTGTGGCAAGTTGTGTGAAGGAATTCATGCTAAAGCAATGGGCTAGGCATGTTTTCTCTCTCTTTCATACGCGATAGGCGAGGCTTGGTTCTTGTTAATTGTTGTTGTTTTTTACATGGGCGCCGTGGCGTACTATATCTAAATTACCAAATTGCAATAATACGGTGTTCTTTCTACAACTAGATCTACAAATAAATGTATTATTAAATAGATAGAGATGGGCTTTATAAAAAAGAAGAACCCCCCCCCCCCTTTATTTCTTCATCAGCACTTTATCTACGAGGTGGTTTATTTCTTATTGACCGAATCAAAGCGTATAGGGCCTATAGAACTTTTTGAAAGAAGTATGAAAAGATGTGGGTGTCATGGGAATCTCCCTTAACCACCCCACCCTCTCTCTCCTCCCGAATCCCAATACCAACCCCCCCCCCCCCCCCCGGACCCCTCAGATATATGAGTTTGGCATTAAATTAAATCAGGATGAGCCATAGGAAAAAAAATCCAGAGTTTTTTCAGCGTTTAGGTGTAGGAATGCAATGAAGCTCTTGATAAAGCAAATTCAGTCAAACAAATGATGAATACATGTACTGGTATTTTTAAAATCGAGTTAAACTTTCCCTTGTGACATCTGAACAGGAAACTGTATTTTTCATTCATATGTTCACTTTTTAAAAGTATACTAAATTATAAGTAGTGTTTTCTTATGTCGGTATTAAACTTTGGTTTATATTGATTTTAAGAACTAAAGTAGACCATATACAGCACTTAATCTAAAGCTCCTTCTATTGCTGTTTTATGTAAATCTAATTTTGGACATTAGTAATACAACTGTAACAACTCTGGACTCACTAAAGATAAAAAAGTGAACTTAAATGTTGTTTTGTAGCCTAGTCAATTGTTTTTCTACTCAGTGTAGTGATAACTGAAACAAAAACCTTTACTAAAGTGTTTTTGGACAACATTCAATAAAACAAAACAGTAAAAAGTGCACTGTTTCAGTTTGATAAAGAAATTTCCTGCCCATTGTGAAAAAGATCTAGCTGCTAGTCAACCTTAACTTCACATGGCCCAGAACCTTACTGATGGCTCTTTATGTTTTTAAAAAAAACCCGGGGTGACTATTTGTGTCTATAACACATATTATGCACTAAAAATAGATGATGTAATAAAAGAAAACAGACATCACTGAACTGCCTGACAGAACCAGTAAGACGTTAATCCAGAAAGGGACAAGAGGTTTCACATGCTTGCGCCTTTAAGAGAATCGCTTTGAATCAAAACATAACGTCAGAATCAAATAAAACACGTAAGACTAAGAGCAGAGACACGCCCACTCACATGTAAACAAACTTTTTAGCCACATTAAAAATGGCCGCCAACAAACTCAAATGTGTCCGTGTCACGTAACCTCGTACGGACTCTAGTTTAAAAGGGGGTAACTCTATGATTCTGATATAGACCATCATAAAGTACCAGATCTGAAACAGATATCGGTGATCATGGTTCTCCATTCATTTCCTCGCGCGGATGTTCTTACAAATATTATATTTTCCTGGCTTTCCTCATCACCCGTCTGTTCAGTTTTCCAAACAGGGTCATCCACACCTCGTTTGTACTACTTTTCCAGTGAAAGCAAGTTGTTCAAATTGTTCAAAGCCTTTTTGTCAATTCGAGTGTGCTAAAAACTATATTTGTCACTTCTTAATTGTTTTAATTATACGGGGTGCCCATTGGCATGATCGGTTCGGTTCGGTTCGATTTGGTAGGCGGGGCTAGCCAGATAGAGGGCACAAAGCGACCATCGTGGCACAAACTGATCTCCCGATTCGCAGTCGTGTGATCGGTTGATGATCGCGGTTTTTCGATCCCCCAAAGGGCATTGCGTATTAGTGAGCAGCCCACGAGGGTTTCTTTCAGTACTTCCTCATTGAATTCTTTTCCTTCCATGGAATTCTCCAAAGTTTCCCGCGAAACCACAGGAGATTTGGGTGCAAAGGTCTAATAGCCAGTGCACATTGCAGATCTGGTTTCGTCAAATCTTCATTTGAAACATTTGAGTGCGCCCAGGCTTTCCAATATAGAGGACCAAAAGCTACTATTATTGCACAATTTTGGCTAATGCTCCAAAATCAAAGATGGTTGATTTCCTTGGTCATCAGTTGACACCTCCGATACGTGTTACAGCCTACTTTTTGCAGGGTCAGATCTTTTGTTTGTGTGCGGCATGCATTGGGTCCCAATAGACTTCCGGGTAAAATCTAATAGAGTTCCGCGTTTTATGACTGGTGAAAAGGACACAGAACATTTTAACAAATAAATGACTATTACTGTAAGGCGCACAACTACAGTACTGATAGTCTAGATTGCGCTTCGGGTTTGAGTTTTTGTTGTTGTTGTTTTTTGTTTGTTTGTTTGAATAGTTTTGTTTTTTGTTAGTTTGTTGTTTTTGTTTTGTTTTGTTTTTGTTTGTTTGTTGTTGTTGGTGGTTTTGTTTGTTTGTTGTCGTTTTTTTGGGGGGTAGTGTTGTCAGAATTTTTGAAAAATATGTACTGGCTTTCAAAAGAAAAAGTTATCACTTTTTTATATCGTAAAAAAAAAGAATTGTCTTTTGAGTCAACAGAAAAACAGACTTATAGTGTGGTCAAAAATTTGTGGCGCAACTCATTGCCAAATAACTCCTCAACTATCCAACATAAACTTTCCAGCTTTTGTACAGTCACTTGTATCAATTTGTCTTAACAGATCAATATTTTTGTGAAAACCAGTTAGCTCTATTCTAAAAAAAAATCCCTTAATAAATACTAATAAAAAATCCCTTAATAAATACTAATAAAAAATCCCAGTGGGTGGTTTCTACCAATTTAAAAAGGTTTACAGCCGGGACAATATCGCTTTTAAAAGCAAGTCCGTCATTTGTTTCTAATTGCGAGATTATGTTTATAATTGAACACAGGTTGTGAGAACTTTTAGTGCAAAAAGGGTTCACTATTAAATTAATTTCTTGTAACTAGTTTTGTCACTAAAAAGTATCATTGGTGAGCTGTAACGTAGGCCATATACGTACACAAAATGTGTGTGAGAAGCAGGAAGTGTTGACAATCCCATTTTCCGCATAAAGGAGATTTGTAGTATTTTATATAAATTTATGAAGAAATAATTTTAAAATTTAGTCTCAATTGTGGTGGAAAATCTGATTAAATTAAGACAAATTGAAGCAAACTTCTGTGCAAAGTATGGGTGGCACTTATTCACCCGTTAAAATAATATTTGAAGATAAGTTGCGCCACAAATTTTTGACCGCACTTTAATGTCCTGGCAACAGCAGAAACGCATGGAGCTTGCCAATGGCTCATTATTTTTTATGTTGAGTGTAATCTGCTATATAGTGGCTATCACTGATAGGTACCACTTTGGATTGCGTGAAAAACTTGTCTTTAGAGTCTTTTGCGTCAATAGAAAAACCGACTAAAGTGTCATGGCAACGGTGTAAACCCGTGGAACATGCCGATGACTCAGTTGTTTTTTCTGATTTTTAGTTAAACCTACTATCTTTCTTTGATGACAATGATCAAATTTTATTGCAACTTTTGGGAAACACTGACTTGAACTTCAATTTTTTTCTTTAAATGCTAACTTTCTAATTATATTTTTTACATGGGTGCTGTGAAACTAACTGAAGAACCAAAATGCTATTTTTGTAACATAACTTACTTCTTAGACTAAGCAGGGTGTCCCTAACTCGATGACCGCCAAAACAAGTTAAATCAAACAAAAACCGTTTACTATACAGTGAAGTCTTTGGTAGTCACGAGTAACAACCGTTGGCTTAACAAAAAATGCTCTATATGGCCGCCATCACGCTCAATGTATTTCCGTCTTCTGACTTCAGATTGGTGTGCGGGCTTTCTGAGATGGCCGGGGCGTGGTAGATCTCATAGGCTCCTTGTCTCGATTTCTGAGTTCCTGTAGGTGAGGAATCTTTCACCTGAGATTTGGTCTTTGAGATAAGCCAATCCCCCCCACCCCCCCAACCCCCAAGCAAATAAAAACAGTCAAAAGGGTTCAAAACTGGACTGAGTTGTGCCCAAGGGTGCCCTGTTAAGCGACTGGTGACAAGATCACCAAAATGTCCCCTCAGCCAGAGTACTATACGTTTTGCTCTGTGAGGAGCTGTCTTATCTGTATTACCCATACAAAGGTGACCTCTTGTCTCATTCAGACAGAAATGCGCAGTGGATTTCCAGAACTGATTAAGCACATTCAAAACATGAATCTGCAATGACATTCTTCGTGGCTACGTCTTCATCACAGAACCAAAATAGCCCTATGACATCTTAAGAGCTGAAAGTCATCCACGCTGTTGCTTTTTTATCGTGCAATTCTCTCTCCCTTTCATGCACACCATCTAGCCTCTCCTTTGCCCAGCGTACACAATTTCTAGAAGTAAGTTTTCTATTCACGCTGAAATGAGCCTCATTGTCAAAACAAACAGTGCGTAGAAAATTTTCTCTGTCTCACTTGTCTTAAAACCCATGCACTCATTGTTTTTTTCTACTAAGCATCGTCTGGGGTTATTCCTTCGTGAAAAGAAATATGACATGGCTTCATTTTAAAATCATGTTTTAAGATTCCGTAAGTCGGTGACAAGCCTAGTTCACCGCTCCGTCCTCGGACAATTTTCGTTGGCGTTTTTGCGACGGTTGCGCGAACTGTTTCCACGTCTCGAACCGTTTTGTTAATACTTACTCCTTTATCTAATTACTCTCTGACACACATCCTCTTACCTTGAACAATTAGTACTACAACCGGTTTCTTTTCACGAAGGAATAACCCCAGACGATGCTTAGTAGAAAAAAACAATGAGTGCATGGGTTTTAAGACAAGTGAGACAGAAAAAATTTTCTACGCACTGTTTGTTTTGACAATGAGGCTCATTTCAGCGTGAATAGAAAGCTTACTTCTAGGAAGTACTACAACCGAATTGCT